GGCTGTCTGCTTTCACCGCACACGTAAGAGAAAGGCCAGCTCTGCACAGCCCCAAAGCAGTTAAAACACATAGCTGGAAGTCCGAGAGTTAAGACAGCTTCAGAACTGGTTGAGCCAGGGGCCCTCCAGTAGCAGGGAATTCTACATTTCTTTCTTTCTGCCAGTGTCAGCTCCCCCTCCTCACAGTCTGTGGAAGTCAGATTCCACGCGTCCCCATTCCTGCCCAGCGAGAGGCGCCACTGTAGGAGAAGACAGGGCCGATCGGCCGAAGCCAGCCAGCACCCACGGCAAGAGCTGGGGTGGGTCCTCCTCGTCATCCCAAATAGTGGAAGGCAGAAAGCAGGAAAAATCCAAGAGAAAATGTGGGCTAGAATAAATGTCGAATAGTTAACCACGGGGGCTGCCGTCTCCCTCAGTGGGATTTTCAGCACACAAACACCAGAAAAATAGTTAATTGTGTCCACTACACACATACTTTGAGACAAATCTGCCGCGTGTGAGTGGGGCCAGTCCTGCATGAAGGGCCGTCAGTGAGCCACTCTGTCAGAAACCACTTACCGATTTAATGAAATGCACAGGGACAGCAACTGGCTTCTCCCATGCTCCCTTTCAGCCCAGGGTTTCTGTGCCGGGTCCCACGAGACCCCACATCGATGGTTCCACTGCTCTCAAGAAGGGGATGTGGCCCAGAAGGCCACGGACCCGCTGAGACCCTGATGGGGTCGGGAGGCCCAGGCCTGTCCCAGGCCCTGGCTGGCTCCAACCATCCCACTTCCTCAAATTAGTAGTTCTAGTTTCATAAATTACACAGCTTACTAAATTCATCCAAAATTCTGACAAAGCTTTTTTTCCCTGAGCCTGGTTTATTTCCAAAGGTGAAAAAGTCTGAATTATAAAATACTGCAATGTCTCGATAAAAGTAAACAAGGGAGAATTAGGTGAAAAATCATGGAAGTTTATAAAAAACCCTTCACAGAATACAGAATTCCCAAGAGCATTTTGTCTACTTTAAATTAATAACTCACGCTTTTAGCTCACGCTTTAAATTAATAACTCACGCTTAAAGCACCATTTGTATGGATCCTCCAGCCCCTCCACATAATGAGGACAGTCGAAGCGTGACGGGGCGTGTGGCGTGGTCCGGGGCCCTGCTCGGCTCCCCTGCGCCCCCCGAGGGAGCTCTCCTGGCGTTGCCTCGCAGCTCGGGACCCACGCCTCTTGGACTCTCAGGAACCTCCAACTCCACATCTAGCCTGGGGTGAAAATACCTATGGGCCCTGTCTTCTGCATCTTTATCTTTAAAATTAAATATATATATATAACTATTCCCAAGACATAAATAAACAAGAAGCCAAAGATAGAGTAAGATATTTCTTAACCGACTTAGGCAGAATCGCTCAAAGAACCAGGGCTCGGAGAAAATATTACTTTAACCCTGTAAGTGTTTACTTGTCTTGGGAACATGAAGGGCCACTTGTTTGTTTAGTGGCATCTGTTTAGTGGCATCTGTGTACCTTTTAAAGCATAGCACTCAGCAGACCCTCAGGGAAGGATTTCGCAACTGCGCAAATGTGTTTTCTACCTCTGTGTGAAGATCCCACGGACACACTGCCCTCCAGAGCACTGCTGGCCCCCGGTGTGGGATCGGGGTTCTGTTCACCAATAAAAAAAGATGAGGACTGTTCCATCTTTTGCTGTGCTCTGGAGTAAATGACAAAATTATCTGTTCCTTAAAAGACGGTGACTACTTCAGTAGGTGACTATGGCAGGACTTGTGAGCTGGATTTTAGCTACAGGAGAAAGTAGACCAGTACCCACGAGGTGCCTCCTGCACTAGAAAGGAGGCCACGCGTGGGCCCTTGCTGTTGCTGGACGCCGGCCATGCAAGCGGCCGTGGTCCGGGCTGGCCTCCCAGAGGCTCACAGTTGCGTAGTGACGTCAGTGTCCCCTCCCTGCTCAACCACCTCCCTGCGCTGAAGTGTGAGCAGAGGTAAGCATAGAACCCCAGAGCACCAAGGACAAGGCGATGTCTCCGTGATGCCCTGGGCTCCCTGTCACAGAAATCTGAGCTCACACTGAGGCCAAGAGTGGGACAAAGGACATGTGAAGGGAGGGAGCAGCCTTAGGTATATTGGTGCCAGATTGTGAGTGTCTCCGGAGTCTCTCCTACAGGAAATGGGAGATCACTGAAGGTGCAGCAAAGGGAGCCAGATTAACGTCAGGTTGGCAAGAGGAGCAGCAGCATGGAATTTAATTGAAAAAGACTGAAGAGTTTGCTATTTTTCCAGGATTACGTGCCAAACGTGACACTTTAGCAAGATGGGAGACTGCTGCGGACCGCCAGAAAGGGTCTCTGCTGAGACATCTAAATCCTTCTTCTGGATGTCGCGCTGTACTATGAAACCATTTCTAAAAATTCCTTTTCCATTTCTAAAATTCCCCGATCCTGTCATGCTGTGATGTCATGGTTGTGTTTTCTTCATTTTTCCATGTGCTTCTAAAGAGGAATAATTGATAGGTGATAGAATGTTTACTGATTATATGCGAGCCATAGAATATATACACAATATGTGTATGTTAAAAACAACCATTCAGTGCACAAAAATGTTTCTGTTCCAATCATCCTAGCTATGTACTTTCATATAGAAAATAATATTATTTCCAGTCTATGCACCAAATTAAATGAAATTGGCCAAAATATGGTACATATCATGGTTGTCGTGCTGAACTAAGATGGTTTTAATGAAATAAAACAGCTAAGAGTAGAATGGTGGTACATGTTCCCTGGTACCCAGTTCTTGAAATCATTCACATCAAGTTGTCAAAGTGATTTTCCAGCCTTGTGGGTCACAGTCTTTATCATGATTTTATCACAACCACATTTATGATGGGTGACATTTATGGAGTGTGTGGAGCTCGGCTGGGTGCCTGTCGTGTGTGACTTTCTCACACAACCCTGCACAGTGGGTGCTCACTGTGCCGGTGGGAAAACACCAGTTTAGAGCTTTGTCTCTGACTTGAAGAAGGCGACTCATGGATCCCAGCCAGGAGCCCTGTTGAAACAACACCCAACCTTTTTGAGATAATTTCTTAGTGGAGGAAGTACTGGTCTTCAGTACTTGGGCAGGCTAACCTCTCAACAATTCATTTATTTATGCATTCAACAAATACGTGTTGAGCACCTGCTACCTGCTAAATGTTGCCCTCAGCACGTGGGGTACATCAATGAGCGAAGCGTGCCTGGCCTCAAGGAGCCCACACGCTAGCAAGGGAGGGCAGTCATTAAGCGATGAGTAATAATCACTCCGATCAAGTGGCACACTGAGGAGATTAGCACTGCAGCAGAAGCAGCAGCACAGGTCAAACGTGGGGAGACAGGTTGCAACATTAAGGAAGGTCAAGCTAGGCCTCAGGGAGAAAGGACATCTGAGCCAAGGCTTGAGGGGAATATCTGAGAGGAGTGCGCCAGAGGCAGCAGGCAGGGCGAATGCTGTCAACACGGTGCGTGCTGCGCCCCAGAGGAACAGCAAGGAGGCAACCCAGGGCAGACTGGAATGAGGGAGGGGCACAGACACACAAGATCAGACTGCAGAAGGACTTATGGACAGATAGAGGGATTTCAGCCTTTGCTCTCAGCGTGTTAGGAGGCATTGCAGGATTTTGAGGAGGAGGGTCATGAACTCTCTGACATTCTAATGATCACTTTGATTGCTCTGTTGAGAGCAGACTATGACAGGGTAAGGAAGGGAACAGGAGGAGCCGTCGAGAAGCTGTTACAATAACCATTAGGAATGAGGTGGCAGTGTCTTGGACCCGGTGACCGCAGAGTAGGTAGGTGGTTGAATTCTGGACATCTTTAGAAGGTACAGACAGCCAGATTCCCTGATAGATGGTGGGCATTTGATCAGATATCATAAGTATATCCTTTTTTAACAGAACAGGGCCCAGGAAATCAACCTGGACCTGACAGTGGTCCAGGAAGTCAATTCACTGTGGAAATGACTTTTGCGGAGTTGGTCTATTGAGAATGCTTCCATGAGAACCCAGGCCAACAAGTGTAGGTTTTCAGAGTATGGCAAGCTCTTGTCTAAGTACAATACCGCCTCACCATCCAGAGGTCATGAAGCACTTCCCTTACACATTGTTAGAAATCGGCTGGGATTTTAGAAGGGCTAAGACATTAGCAGATGAAAAATTGGAAGTTTAAGTTGGTACATGGACCTGGCGCCAATCGGGGATGCTAAAGCGAGTGCATAGCCTTGAGCATAGGGCCACGGCGACTGCAGCCGGCCCTGGTGCTCAGGGGAGATCACTTCCCCCAAGGAACTGCCCCTCTGGATAGGGTGCTGTGGCCTGGAACAAGACAGCCCAGCAGCCCCTCCCCAGCATTCTCAGGGACCCACCGTGCACCAGTAGCCGCTGGGTCTCACGTGCAGTCCCCGAGGCTCACACTCTGCTCACGCACGCATACTCAAAGACAGCAGGATGCCCTACAGCTGATGAAGTCCCACTGACTGATCCAGGACTTGCAACATTTTTCTGAGAAGGGCCAGGCAGTAAATATTTTAGGCTTTGTCGCCATACAGTGTCTGACACAACCTCTCAACTCTGCTGTTGTAGGGTGGAAGCAGCCAGAGACAATAAGAAAACAAATGAGCCTGGGCATCTTCCAATATCACTTTATTTATGAACACTGGAATTTGAATTTTATGTAAGTTTCAAATGTCATAAAATATTATTTTCTTTTGATTTTTTTCCAACCATTTAAATATGTAAAAAAAAAAACCCATTCTTGCCGCTGGCCAAACAAAAACATGCAGTGTCTGGAATTTGGCCCTCTGGCTGCAGCTTGAGGGCCCTCAGACCAAAGTGCGGGTCTTGAAAGGGCCTGCGGGGGCTCACATCTGGCCCTTGGGGGACCGTGGTGGAGGGGACCCTGCACCCTGCGCCGTCAGCTGCGGCATCCGGGTCGTGCTACAGGAGGCCGCCCTGCCCCTGGCCTCAGCGTGTCAGACTTGCAAGGCGTGGGCGGGCGCTGTCTCCCACCGGCACCACACGCGGGACTCACAGGGCACCTCTGCCCACGGCACGGCTCCGCCACCTGCTGGAAACGGCTGCAACGACACCCAGGTGTGCACCAGCGCCGATGAGAATGATGCCCCTTGGAGTTCTGAGCTGCCTCATTGGCTGGATTTAAGCAGTGGCCCTGCGCTCAGGAAATACGGAGGAGGAGAAAGACACTACGTTCCCAGGAGTCCCAGAAGTCGTCATGCAAATGACAGAAAGATCCCTATTCCTTCACTTCTAGAATTTGGAGGAGAGGAAGCAGAATGGCAGAGGGAAGAAGGGCGAGGGAAGACATCTCCTCCCTGCTCTTACCTAGTCTCCACAGGCCTGGCCAGGCCTCTGCCTGCATTGCAGGTGTCCTGCAAACAGAAGTAAGTGACAGTCCCACAAACATGCCTCGGCTGGAGAGGCCAAGAGGGGAAGAGCCCAGCGGCACCTCCTGACTCGCACGCCCCATGACAGCGCGCAGCTCAGCGGTCCGCAGGGGCTGGGTTCGTTGGCTGTGAAAGGACGCCACGTGCACAGGCACGGGCAGCTCAGGCACGCAAGCTGTCACCAGCTTGACCTTGGGCCAAACCGGCCCTCCTCCTGCCTTGGTTTCTCTGTCCCACGAGGTTGGCACTGCAAGACGTTGCTGCCTCCCAGAGGTGGTGTGACAGTGGGCTTGCACAGCGTCCTAATCCGGACGGCAATCCCGAGGCCAGCAGTCTGGAGAGGGAAGAGGAGGTGAAAGGAAAGGGCGGGTTAAATAAGACCGCAGGGCACAGTGCAGAAGCCACGGCACACCCGGGACAGTGCAGGACAGGGCCTCAGGCTCCAGGGCCTGGCATCAGATCCCAGGTGTCAAAAGAAAAAGGGAGAGAGTCAGAGAGTGCAGCCAGGGATACGTGCAAAGACCGCGAGGCCCACCGTCTCTGATTTAAAACCACAACCTTTGCCTCTTGCTGTAGGGAGTGGGGAAGAAAGAAACAGGGTGATCTGTTTGTTTTGCCCCCAGGCTCCTACACGTTTAGGACGAGTCCTACAGCCACACAGCTGTGCCAGGACCCGGGAAGGCTCGGGAAGCCCACGGTGCGTGGCAGCTGGACCTCAGGAAGTCTGGGACCCAGAGAGCCCCACGTCTGGCCTGAGGACAGGGAGGGGCCAACATGCAGACCTCAGGCGCAGCTCTGGAAACACAAAACTGTCCCAGGGAAGAGCCAGCGGCCCCCGTGTTATGACAGCTGCAGAGGGCAGCTCAGTATGACGACGCCTGTGTGGGGACAATGGTCCTTTGTGGGAGTGAGGCAGGCCCGTGCGGAGAGGGCAGTGCAAGGCGGCCAGGGGCCCTTCAGCTCCCTCCAGGACCCCTGAGAAGGACACACGGCACGGAAAAGCTGAGTGTCATGGCTCAAGCAACCCCTCAGCCACTGCAAACTGACCAAGCCCTTGATCAGCTCTGAAAACTGGTTTCTATCTCCTCCTCCCTGTACCATGATTCGACTTCCACGCCGAAGCTGGTGTGCAGGAACGTGGGGTTTCTCTGGGCCCACTCTTGTACAGACTGCCTTCCTAGCATGCACAGTGCAACGAACGGCCCCCGCACGGTGGCAGACCAGGGCCAGGCCAGTGTTCGACTCTGCTCTGGCCCAAGTCAGGAAGGCAGGAGTTGCGCCAGGAGCCAGCTCAGGCTGCCTCCTCCCCTCCCTGCTCCCGTCACCTTTGGCCACCAATGCAAGGCCAGCTGTTCTAAAGGCCAGGCACTGCCCCTGGCTGCTCACCAAGCCATGGGCACAAAATCCTCCCCTGTCCCTGCAGCCCACCACACTCCTGAGCCCAGATTGTAATTCTTAGTGGGATTTTCCTGAAAACCCAGGAATAAGCCAAGGGAAGTGGCACAGAGAAGAGCTGTGAGGCAGGCTTTCATCTGTCCCAGAGTCCCCTCAATGACACCCGCCAACTCACTCAGGACAGCCTCCACGTGGCCGGGTGTGACCCAGCCACCAGCATTAGTCAGGCTGCCACTCTTGTGGAATAGTTCTAATTTGTTCAGAACTCAAACATTTGGGGGTGTCTTTATGGATATTTCCAGATATCCCAACCCCTCCCAAGTCCATGCCCTGCCCTAGGACCCACCACACCCCAGGATGGTGACAGTAAAGGGCCATTCCCCTCAAGAGAAGCCCCATGGACTCAAGGCATGGTCTGGCCTTGAGGTTGTGCCCTGCCCAGGCCCAGGCAGCACACAGGACTGAGCCTGTCCCTTCGCCTCTGAAGAGCCCCTGCTGGCCCAAGGGCCTGCCCTTGCCCAGACGGTCAGACCCAGACTCGCTGCTGCTCTGGGGACAGGGGTCACTGCAGAACCAGAAAAGAAAGAAGGTGCATCCCTGGCTTCTCAGCTCAGAAAGAGCCATCTGGGTGTGAGACCAAGATGTCAAAGGCGATGAAGTAGAAAGATGCAGGGTCTGTTTGTTCACTGTCCACCACCACTGCTATCCTTACCCACGGCACACACAGACATGTGACATGAGAAGCTAAGTGCTCGTCTTCTTTATCCTTATAATCGTGTGTGTCTATGTACGAGTGTGTCTATGTATTACTATGTCTCTGTGTGTCTGTCTCTGTAGGTGTCTATGTCTGTCTCTGTGTGTCTCTGTGTGTGTCCCTGCATGTGTCTGTGTGTCCCTGCATGTGTCTATGTGTGTCTGTGTGTCCTTCCATGTATCTCTGTGTGTCTCTGTGTCTCTTTTTGTGTCCCTGCATGTATCTCTGTGTCTGTGTGTCCCTGCATGTATCTCTGTGTGTCTCTGTGTGTGTCCCTGCATGTGTCTGTGTGTGTCTGTGTGTCCCTGCATGTATCTCCGTGTGTCTGTGTGTCTCTTTTTGTGTCCCTGCATGTATCTCTGTGTTTCTCTCTGTGTGTCCCTGCATGTGTCTGTGTGTCCCTGCATGTATCTCTGTCTCTGTGTGTCCCTGCATGTATCTCTGTGTGTCTCTGTGTCTCTTTTTGTGTCCCTGCATGTATCTCTGTGT